AAGGGAGAGAGATAGAGAGATAGAAACATCAATGATGAGAGAGAAGATTGATTGGCTGCCTTCTGCATGCCCCCTACTTGTGTGTGTGTGGGGGGGGGTGAGGGGGGATGGAGCCTACAACCCAGGCATGTGCCCTTGACTGGAATCGAATCTGGGACTCTTGAGTCCACAGGCCGACGCTTTGTCCACTGAGCCAAACTGGCCAAGGCAAGGGCTTGGCCTCTTGAAAGCATTAGCGTGGTGCCTATCAGCTGTTACGGTCATGATGACAATGGAATTTAGGTAAGAGTAGCCCCACACCCACAGTTGGGCATCTGTCTGGCTCCCATTCAGACAGGTGTAGGATCAAGCTTCATCCCCCCCCCACCCCTTTCCAAACATTACAGCCCATTTACAGGGAGGGGTTCCTCTCCAGTAAACGCATCTGGAGCCTCTGCTGGGGGCTGGCCCTCTGCCTGGCAGCCCTGATCACAGAGGGAGTGGAGTGGACGGGCCGTCCACACTCCCCAGTCAATCACCCTTGGGAGCACTTCTGCTAGAACAGGCCACACCCACTCTGAGGATCAGACTCGGACCACGTTGCCCTGGTGCCTCTGGCAGTCCTAATGCAGTGCCCTCACAGGAGTACTCAGTAGCGATATTAGGACAGTGATAGTGACAGTGATGACGGCAACGACGACAGGAACGACGGTCCCAGGCCCTGTCCCAGAGGTTGGGGGCAGGATGCCTGTTCCACCGAGGAGCACACTGAGCCTGGGGGGCAGAGCGTCAGCACCTCAGACGCAGAGTCAGATGACTTGCCTAAGGTCACACAGCATCCCCCCCCCCCATACCTGGTTCTCACTCCTCCCGCCCCTCCCCAGCCCACTGCCTTGTTCTGTCCTCCTGGGGAGCAGAGGCACAGTGACGAGAGTGACAGCAACGTGCGCTGGGATGAGAAAAGTGGGCTTGCATCAACTCTGCATTTGGGAATTTAAAAACCTGAAATCAAGCCCTCGCCGGTTTGGCTCAGTGGATAGAGCATCAGCCTGTGGACTGAGGGTTCAGTTACAGTAGCACGTGCCTAGGTTGCAGGCTCGGTCCGGTGTGCAGGAGGCAGCCAATCAATGATTCTCATCATTGGTGTTTTTATCTCTCCTCTCCCTTACTCTCTCAAACCAATAAAATTATATATTTTTAAAAACCTGAAATGTAATTGCCACACATAGACATGACCCTTGATGCCATGTTTGCCCGACTCTTGCCCTGCAGTTCCCTGAATCCAGGCTGGGGCCACTCCCGGGTCCTCACCCTTTTGTTTGGTTGTTTTCTTTCTTCCCTGAGGGTTTTGAGATATTTTTTTTGCCGGGGGGGGGGG